TCAGTCCGGGAACTTTCCGGACAAACTGTGTATGCGCAGAGACCGAACCGACTGTACACAAGGATCGGAATCCACGACCGACAGGAAACCACCAGGATGTAACGGTACCGAAGCGCGATTACTTCGCTCGCAAGTGTCGAAGTTGTCGATAAATGCGAAGGAACCATCGATTTTTGTTGTAGCACTCGCTCTGTCGTGTCGGTCGTTTTTCCAACAACGACGAACACGGTGACCTCCAATAAGAGAAGCTGCTGGAATAATAAGTCGCGCCGCGTTTTCACCGTAAATGAAAGTCCAACAAACCAAAAACCTCTTTTTTAAAATTGTTGACTTAGTAACTTGTGGAAGAGTCGTGGTGTTAATTTATTTATTTACATTATACGTCTCTTCTCGCACCGCACATTACGCCAGACACGGTCGTCATCGTTTATAAATTTCTTGAGGATATCAACAAACGGGATAGGAACTTCCTTGATCCCGGGATGATTCATATCCGACGCGCGATGCAGATATACAATGGCGATGAGTCCAAGCGGAACAGAGCGGGTTTAATCAAGGATACGAGCGACGTAATGCGGGTATATAATTCGTAATGAGGACTTTACACATTCCTGAACGTCGTCCGCTTTCTCTGGTCGTCTCTCTCGCGCCCGTTCAACGGGAGATTTCTCCACGTCGTCGCGTCTTACTCTTTGATCCTTTCTCTGCCCGTGGCCCGTCCTTACCTCCACTGTCGAGTCCAGTTCGGACCAAAGCGGCGAGTAATTCATTCCAAAACGATCATTAGTTCAGGCATTCTCAACCTGCACTTCGCCAAGTGCACCTCACCTCCTCGTCTTTTCTTCATTGTTGCCAAGAAAAATGAATGACATCATAATTATAAATACAAAATTTATCAGCGAGACGCAATCTGTTTGCGCCGAACTGCGCAGAATTTTATATTGTTAAATCAAACACAGAATATCTTTAAGGAACAATTAAATTATGACACGCTACTTTTATATTTAAAACTGTGAATAAAAAAAATATTTGTTTTACGCGCTTATCAGAAACCATTTTCTCTACTGTTTTCGCCACAAAAGCTTTTCGAGGCGATTAAAATATTTTTGTGCAAGTGAAAATGTTTTTCCAAAGCAACATCCGATTTCCTACGTTAGTGTATCGATACACTTTGCACCTCGACGCGAAAAATCGCGCCACGTGAAAGTATCGATTTGCGGATAATTCTCGGACGGAAAATTCGCCTCGGTATTAAAAAAAATAAAAAAAAAAAAAAAATTGGCAGCAATCTAGCCTGAATCCGGCTTTGTTTTTTTACGTTGTATTATATACAACGCTCGTGCACCTGCATGAGCAACGCTTTGCGTGCACATGCAAACGCGCATACACAGTTGCGCGGGGAATGAAGAACCTTAGGCGGTGTGTGGAAGCCAACCAACCGGGATCAACGGTACTTCTCGGAATTAAATTACACATAGTCTACCCACCCTCTCCTCTTGATGTTGATTGCATAATCAATGCCTTGAATCGCGTCGAGGAAAAACTCCGATTGCTCATTGTCAGCCGCTCCTTCAACTGGTTTACATTTAAAGAAAGCTGAGAAGATTATGTTCAAGTACATCATGTTCAAGTGCGCGCAATATCCGACGATGGAGAACTTCGTGAAGTAATAAAAAAATCGTAGAAAGGATAATTATCAAAAATACACACACGTATATTTTATTGTGCATATTGATTTACGTAAGAAGATAAAAGAAAAAAAATTCTACTTTTGATATTGCTCTCTCAAGGGGAGAAGAATTGTATTATAATAACAGAATAAATCTGGTCGCCGTGGTCGCCGGACAGTCATGCATATATGCATGATCACCGACATTCCGAGCTCCCGGTTACTATGGAGCAATCGATAAGGCACAGCATCCGGCGTGCAAAAAAAAGTACGTGCCTCGCGTACGTGCTTGGTTGCGTGAGTTAATAAGCGATGTGAATGACTTAAAGGTATTTAACCGCGCTAAAACAATATTCGCGAGCGCGCACTAGAAACTCGCTTCATCCGCTCCGCCGCAACGAGATATACTCCATATCTTCCGGTGATTACAATATTGGCTAATAATTTGCGAAAGACACCAATTTGCGCAAAATATCTTCTCACGTGTCGGAATAAAAAAAATTTATTTATTTATTTTTTTTTTATTCGAAAAGTCAATGCGCATGTACTTCTTTAACTCGCTCTCGTACGTATCCGAAACTTCAATCAGAGCGTGAATCTGCTTATCGGAAAGTACGTGGAAAGTGGATCGAAAGTATGTACACGCGCGTACATATATCGCGATTGTCTGTCATGCGTAACCGCAATGATATCGAAAATACATCGGTTAAATTCTCAACTCGACTTTGACTCGACGAGAGAAGTGAGCCAACGTGAAATTACGTTTTCACGTCGTGCTTACAAAGCAGGAAATAATCACAACAATAGAGAGTAGCAAACGAGCAGCGTAAACGAAAGAAAAACGCGTGGATTAAATATAATACAATAGGATGCGGTTATGATAAGATGCGGTAGAACCGGGCGTGCACCGAAGAAAAACCAGCCGTGGTTTATATCTCCCTCGTTTTCGCTCGAAAGAACCGGGAAAGGAGTTTCCGCGTGGCTGTCGGTCGAGAATTTACCGATACCGAGCTGTATCCTCCCGATTGGGCGGCAGCTTTTGACGTAAAACGGCACATAAAGTATTGGAATCAAGAAGAACGCTATGTAAAAAGCAAAAATACGGATGAATGAATGCATTGATGATGACGTTAAAAATCGTAGAAGATTTTACTTATGTTTTACGTAAATTTTTATATCTCAGTTAGTTTATTGACAAAAATCTATTTTTTTTTTGTACAATTTGATGTAAAAAACTCGATTTTCTAATTTTTTATTGTGTGTGATAACTATTTAATTTCATTGAATTAAGATCATCGAGCAGATTTGCATTTATCGAAACGCAAACACCGAGCACACGAAATTGCGGGAACGGCAGATAAATGAACATGGAATCGAACAAAAAATGAACGAAGAAGGGGCAGATGGAATGTAGCGAATGGGGTCGCTGCCGTTGAAGGTAAACGACTGCGTCCCCCGGACTTCTCCTGGCAAGTTGCCTTCGAATGCCACGCGGAACGACGGAAAACGATATCCAGTCACATTCTCCGAGTGACTAATTCACGCTATCTCCTACCTAACGCACACATGAATATGCGGTCTACTCGATCATAGTAGTATTGGAAAAGTCAATCAGCCACGAAAGTTGAAGTTTCACAATGAAAACGGTGATCTGGTTCTTTGGCCAACCGCGAGTTGCAAGAATCAAAGAGAGAGAGAGAGAGTAGAAAATAAATAATAAAAACTAGATTGATGTATTAAAAGAGAGATATTTAAATTATAAAAAATAAAATGCGTAAATATATATTTATATAGATAATACAAAACAACGTTTTAAAATTTATAATAAAAAAATTAAATAAAATAGCCGCAAGATGCCTTACCAAATTTCGTTGTTATTAAATGGATGACGTGATTGTCAAGGACGTCAAGGAATTTTATATTGACCGAGGTTAGATTGGTTTGTGAGTCAGAACTTCTACCGTTGTATGTTTGAATTCTTCGCAATTTTAAAATATTTTGTTACACGTGCACGTTACACTTACGTTGACATGAGAGAGCAAAAACTGCTGTTCTGACTCTTCGATTCTCCTCCTTTCTCAAACGGACTCAGAATTGTCAGTCAAGATAGAATACAAAAAATTATCACACATAGATTTATTTGATTGTACAAATATACAACAAAAACAAATAATTATATCTAACACTTTGTTTGAGAAAAAATGATTGTTTCTAGTGTTTAACGATGCACTTTGCCTGTGTTCTTGTTATCACAATTATTTAAACTGATCTTTTAACGACACGCTTTATCTTCTTTTTACATCTCACCGCGATCAATGTAAAAACTTAATATATCTTGATCTGACGGTGCGCGAACAAAATGCAAAAATGAAATTGTAAATTGTATGAAATGTAAGTATGTTGTGTTACCTAATGAATTTAATGTGGAAAGAGAAATATTTTATTGACTGCATCTGACGAAGAGACGATGACATGTTTCTTTTGGTGGAGCCAAAGTTACAAGCGGCTTATTGTAATGCATAGCTGTCCACGTTTCCGTGTTTAATCGTATCACATAGAACTCATCAAGATACGGAACAACAGGATTGCTCGAAATTGCTTTATTTTCGGAATCGATCGTTCCGTTTAAGTATCCGATTTTTTGACAAGCAATTTTCGCTTGTGTTTCCAAATTATCCGATTCCGAGAAACACCGAGAGTGCCATACGCCGTAAGATCGTTGTATCACTTCCCCTGTACCAAAACTAAAAACCAATTTGGCAAAGTTATATTCTTTGTAAACTTGTTAATTTACAACAATTCTTTAATTGTTTATTGCTTCAAGTCTCGAATCTTACCTGTTATCTGTCGAATTTACTTTTATACACTCAGCTTCGTCTTCGCCATTCGGACAATCCTTCTCGTCATCGCACACGAAGTCTAGCGGGAAGCAGGTAAGACTTTCTCTGCACATATACAAGAGATAAGACGTAGAACAAAAACATGTAACAATTATAATTGTATAAAACCTTCGAAAAATCTTTGTTTTATTTTTCGAGCACATCAAAACTCAGAAACAAAACGTGCATCGAGGTGTTAGAATTGTTTGTTGCGTCTTACGTGTTGCATTTGAAGCTGGTTTCGGTGCAGTTACATCTTTCTGGCGATTCATCGCTCTTATCGTAACAATGTCGCACACCATCGCACAACCGTTCCGGCGAAGTCAATTCGAGATAGTTCGCACATGTGCAGATTATAGGCTCATCCGTTCCGTCCGAACAATCTACTTTACTGTCGCAAAATGCGCTCTTCGGAACGCACATGCCATTCTTGCATCGCAATTGCGATTTCGAACATTCTACATAGAAAAACACAAAGTGGTGAGTTGGAACACAAGTGAGAAAAAAATTATAACACAGTAATTCACTGTGTCACAAAATTATTGATTGATCGGTCTGCTAATTGCAGTTATGAAAAATTAACTCACCGAGATTAACAATACTTCTTTCGACCATAGAGGTGCTATTCATACACATGTCTGTGTTTTCGTCAGCTCCGTCTCGGCAATCCTTCACGTCATCGCACACTTGAAACCAGGGAACGCATTTTCCCGTATTACACCGAACACCGTTGCATTCGGGTTCAGGTGTTGGATGTAATTTCTCCTCTGCAATAAAATAATAATCAATTTTAAGGAAAACAGAAAGTTGTTCTTGTGACACAATCAACAAAACTATTAATGTCAATTTAAAATCTCAGCGTGACAAACTCACCTAAGATTTGCGTGAGATAAGCGTGGATGTAATCGATACTCGTCAAATTTCGAGTTTTTCGGAAGCTGCACGAGCCTTCGTTCTCGTGAAACACGGCTGCGGGATACCATCCTGCCGCGCCGCGACAAAATACCGTTCCGCTCCAAGGCGATGAACTTTCGTCCTTTTTTTGAGTCTAAACGTGCGGGTCGAATTAAAACTCTTATATTGCGAATGTGTAGATAATAAAAAAAACTAATTACAATTCGCCGCGAAACTCACCGAACATTTGGAATCGAAACCTTCGGTGAAACAGCGGTAACACTTGTCGCAATTTTGCAGGATCGATTTCAGAAGAATCGATTGCGTGACATGGTTGTCGTCCGTGCCAACAGCCACGCACAAATCGTTCACCGCCGGCGGATAAATTCTGTAAAAGTGACAAAATAACATTAAAAAAGTGTGATTATATAAATGTATCATAGTGAGATGTAAAACACGCAGATGATAAAGTATACGTACTTCTTTTCTAAAAACAACGGTTTAACGTAACGGGTAAAGTTCACTGCGGTCTTCAAGTGCAGCAACGAGATGTCCGACGTCTTCACGTTTCTGATCTCGTCAACTACCGATACTTGTTGATGGGGTCCGTCCACGTAAAGATACGTTCGACTGTAGCCAAGCACAGCCGCCGTATAATTCACCGACAATCTGTAATATATATTTTACTCTTTGTTGCGTCTTCTTCTCATCTCGGCGATTAAATCTCGAGTGCAAAAAACCAATCTCGTTGAAAAAAAATACATGAAGTGGAGCAACATGATCCGACAATCGAGACGAATCGTATTTTCACGAAAAGGATTTGTGAAGAAATGTAAAATCACTCACTTGATGTCTTCGGTGCATTTCGAGCTCGACAGGAGCCAATCTGGTTCGAGAAGCAATGCCGAGCAGCGGTAATGGCCGTCGACGAAGATGGCGGCCAGCCACGGCCACAGGTAGGTATGATTTCTGGCTCTGTGATCGACGATCAGATGCGTGTCGACGCTACTGCTTAAAACCGGTCTGCAACGAATACGTAGCGCCGTGCACGTGACGTTCTCCGCAACGTTACTTGGCGATGGTTCGTGATGACTCGTTGCGTTGTCCTTTTTCCACGACCTCGTTTTCAGCATTGTCTTGTTCACAGGTACCGTATACACCGATTGCGCACTCCTGCGTGCAAACAAAAATATTTTAATATTTTTGAGTTTCACTTTAGTTTTAAGAAAAACTTCATAAAATATATACTCAGTATCACACACACATTAAACTACTATTACTACAAATGTCACGTACATAAATCCAAGATATTCGCAAATGTTTTGTCCAATTGACGAAACCAGAGAGTTGTTGCTCAAAACATCCGGTGGAACGCATATTGTTTTCCACGTTTCTTTGTAATATTGGCTGAGCAGACCATCCGTGTTTAAAACTGTCAAGTTATCGTCGTCCACATTTACGTACTCGCCATCGGTCAGAGCGACTGAAAAAAAAAAAAAAAACGGCACAATATTTATCCTGTCCTACAAATTACAAATCGTGTGTACTTACAGCAGTCCATCTCGTCTTCTTTGAAAGGACAGTCGTTGATTTCGTTGCATCTTTTTTTCATCGAGACGCATCTTCCGCTTTTGCTGCAGTAAAACTCGTCGTCTCTGCATATACCTGCGCGGAAAAAAAAGTTTTGCTATTATTAGCAAGAAAAATTGTTGAGTCTATTGAATTTTTTGTTTCATCGACAAATTATCTCAATAAACTCAGCAAGTTTTTCTTGCTAGCCGTACAGTAATTGATTTCTTGCTATTCTAGCAAATCTGTTTTTTTTTTTTCGTGTGAAACAGGATTAATCGATTGTCATAGGAGTAAAAACCGCGCCAATATTATGATTGACGTATGCAATACCGCAATCGTTCTCGTCCGTTTTGTCGACGCAGTCCAAATGTCCGTCGCAAATTGCTGTCGGTTGAAAGTTCGACAGATAGTCTCTGCACGTGCAATTCTCTTCATCTGTCCCGTCTTCGCAATCCAAATGCCCGTTGCATCTTTTATTGAGCTTTATTGTTTGAAGTATTCTGTAAACATGAAGAGGAATATGTTAACTCGCAATGTGTTCTCTCATTGAAGAGAGTTCTTTAGAAATCAAATTAATAATTTTGACTGTGTTTGAATACAGAAAATTTAAATATTTTCACCAACTCACTTTTCACACGTGAACGTTGTTCTCACGACCGATTTTCTTGATACAAACGTATCGTTTTCCGCAACATTTTTATTGTCTTCATCGTTCACTCTTTTGTAGACGAAGTAACGAAGAAGCGGATCCTGCGTTCTTTCCCTGTTTGTTTCTGTAATATTAAATTTTCATATTATTTTATTCAAAAAGTGAGAATCTGTTTCAGAGCAATGACAACAACGATAACTCACGTAGCCAACGGTTGTTCATAGAATTGCGAGTCGGATTTGTCATTGACACCATGGTGTTATTTGCTAACCGCCACTTTGCAGCGTAGTCTTCTTGGCAATTCATTTCATCTTCTGCGCTGAAACACCCTGTCTCGCCATCGCACCTAGAGATAACAGGGATGCATATACCTAATTGCGAGGTACAAGTCACTCCTGGACAGGTACTTGACGGTTCAATCAACGTGCCAATTACTAGAAAAAAAATCGTACAATTCGATCTCAAGAAAAAGGAAATAATAAATATCAGAAAGGATAATATTTTTTGCGCAATTTATGTTTCATTTCTTCTTATTTTGAAAGTACAATTTGTTTACATCAAAAACCAATATCTTGTTCGCACTCACCTGAACCTCTGAATACTTCGTCCATCCAACTCATAAAATACTTCACTTTCATATAAATACCAGGCGTTTCACGCCCACATCCAAATCCATGACTGACTATACCCGCCACGTACCATATCGACGTCTCGTTTGGGTTTCTGTAGAACAGAAATTTTGTAACAACAATTATATTCTCGGCGCGCTTGCTCAATTAAGTGCTTTGCGCTTATTTCTTCTTCAACCACGTAATGTTTCACCTGCATATTAAGGGACTGCCGCTGTCATCCTCGCAAGAATCGCGACCACCTTCGGCATATTCCGCGCACAGCAATGAATCGCTGTGTTTCCAGTCGTAATACGGACACGATTCGAAAATATCTACTTCCACTTCTCGCAACGAATCCGCTAAAATGTACAAGATTTTAGTCCCGTGAATTTTACACATGATTTTTGTTTGCAATTTTACGTATGCAATTACGAATAAAAATAGAATGTTCAAATATTATTGAGATTGCAAGCTGATTATTCCTATCGCTAAATAAAGTTTAAAGTTTGTTAGTTTACTTGCTGTCCCGTTTTCTTTTAAGTCTCCATAACCGATAACGATGCACTGAGACTGCGGCGTTGGACCAAACTCCCACTCAGATCCCATAGTGATATTACTAGGTAAATAAGCTACATTAACGTATCGGTTTAAATCAAGCGGTTGGTTGAGCCATATTATTGCTATATCGAACTGGCTAAAATCCTCGTTGTACTGAGGATGAACAAATATAAATCTCGCTTTTCTTATTTGAGTAAACGGTGAAAATGAGTCAAATCTGTGCATGCCGGCTATCACTTCGTAATATGAATGCACAGTCTCCGATTCTAAGGAATCCCTGAAAATAAATGTTTTGTTCAAATGTAAATTTGTGTTTGATGTACATACTTATACTGCTATAAATAATAAATATATATTATTATTATTATTATATATATATATATATATATATATAATAATAATAACATATATGAATATATGTTAATCCTAAAAAATTGCAAATCAAATTATTTTTGAAAACAACTTCTCACTTTTTGTTCACGCAATGAGCCGCGGTGAGTATCTTGCTCTCGCTAATAATAACACCTCCGCAATGAATGTAACCGTCTTTTGAAATAGCGACGACAAAAGGCCACCGCGCGAGACTCGGATGACCGCCGATTATTCCAACGAGATTGTCATCATCTTGCTCATCGTCTATTTCATTTACATTTAACAGTCCCAACGTATTCAAGTAGAGTTCATGAATTCTTTCACTTTCCGAGGTGACAAGTTTCGCGTGACTGTTGAATTTCTCAAATCTGTTCTTAGATAATTGATCAATACGGTTCTCAGGTTTCGTTATCTGTTTGCATTGCACGAATATCGCTGCGCTCGAACATTCGTTGTATTCAAACGTATGCTTTCCGAAGAATCCTTTTACGTAAGGACCACGGAAGACGTTTTTAGATACGCCAACGACCTCCACTTCCGGATATATTCTGAAAAATTACGTCAAAATAATTTCATGCAAAAGTATGAAATGTGTGTTTGTCAATTAAAAAATTTAACACAATTGTTCAACAAGTTGTTTGAAAAAATTATATGAAAAATATATGAACATAAAAAATTGAGAACACAAATCAATGACGTACTCTATAAATGATGGCGGAGGATTAGGGTAAAATTCAGCCGTGCAAGCACTTAGCGCTAAATCATATGAAAAGTCCGAAGTCGCACAAACGGGATACCATTTCCCATGCACGTTCATATGCAGATATCCACTGGTGTAACCAATTACAAGTGTCTAATAACATTATTGTAACAATTAGCATGTAACCAATATAATAATAAAACAAAAATAAATAATTAATAGATAAATCGAAAAATGTAAGCTTAATTTATACATCCTATATATACTCTCTAAAGTAGTTTAAACATGTGGTAGCATATTTTGCGCGCGTACTTCATTTTGAACGACGTATGATTGTGAAAGTACAGAACATTCTTCCTCATCTATCCTGTTGGGACACTGTTCAATGCCGTCGCAACGTTGCGACATAGGCACGCAAATTGGATTATCGTCTGCATCTCTTAATTTACAACTGTAAGTATCATCCCCACAACCTGGAAATACAAAATTTTATTAACGTAAAACATAACGTAAAAGTTTTGTTTAACAATTTTTAATTCTATAATATCGTAAAACAGTTTAAAAATTTTTTTTAAGTATAAATGCGTATTATTGTATACGCTTATATTTTTAAGCTAGTTTTACGGATAAAGTAGCGTACACGTGTTTACTGCAACCAGTATTTAGCGTCATCTGGTGGAAACAAAAATTGATTAAAAACTACAAATGTTACGTTTTTCGTAACATAATTAAAAAAATCTCTCACGATAAAGCGTATACATTACTTTGATTGTTATTGGAATTTCTGTGTAATCTAATTCTGATAAAAAATAGCAAAAGAATATGATAATCGGTTGGTTACTGAGATTCCTATTTTATCAGATATATTTTTTGTTCCTATTTGTTGTTATATTTGCTCTCTCTCTCTCTCTCTCTCTCTCTCTCTCTCTCTCTCTCTTTTGTACTTATATATTATATATATATATTTTTTTTTAAATTTATTCTTTCTTCTGTAATTTACCAAAACAATCTTCTTCATCCTCCGCATGTGGACAGTCTATATAACCGTCGCAGTTGTATTTAAGTGGTAAACGGTTTACACAGAGGCAGTCTACTTCGTCGCTAGAATCCCAACAATCAATTACGTTGTCACACCACTTAGTTTTCGAAATGCAGTTTCCATCGTTACAACGACGATCATTTTCAGTGCACACTTGGGACTGCTGGGAAGGCGGTTTGGACAAGTATTCTGTAATAACTATCATCATACCACATAATTACAAAATGATAATACATTCTAATGTGCAGTTATTTCTTTTCAAATGTCAAGAACAAAACACATTATAATTTTTAATAAACTTCAAACATAAAATGAAAAAAGAAAAAATACCCAAAGAAATTGAAAAGAAAAAATCTAGGAAACTAAATTCAAACATATAAAATAATTAGACTTACATGTTGTCGTATTCGAATTTGACCATTCTTTTGACGATTCTTCTTTCTCTTCTATGTCATTGAAAAATTGTTGTGGCGGAACAAACGATGGTGGAAAACTAAATGTCGGCAATGACATGTAAGTGCAGAAGTATGGTGTGCCTACAGTCGGCTGCTCGCTCTCTGCAATCGGTTGGGACACGAATGGCTTGGTAATCGGTACGTTCGACGTAATGGTGGAACTTTGTCCTGTCGGCGTCAGATTGCCAGCGTAGCCGAATTTCGGCAAAAACTGCGCGGTGTTCGTGCTACTCGGCGCTGAGAAATCCTGTAAAGGATACTGAAACGGAAATGCACGACTTTGCGAGGAGAAAGAACCGGATAAGTTTGGGTAAAAGGATCCCGGAGACATTTGCTTAACGGTAGGTTGATTAGGGGATCCGAAGAAGCAGACCGGATGCACCGTCCACGTTGAGGAGTTTAGCTGTTGGAGTTTCGTGCTTTCTGCAATTGGCTCAATGGATTTGTTGTTCTCCCGCGAACTATTGGCCGACGTAACAGAATAAGCGCCTTTTTTCCAACCCGTTTCTGTGTTTAACAATCATGTATATATGTTATATATTAAAATATATTTTATATATTAAAATAATTCATTTTATCATTATTTTAAGAAAAATAATTAAATTAATTAACTGGTCAATTTGCAAAAGAATGAAGTCTAAAGATTAAGTTTCTCTCTCTCTCGACAGTTTACGTTATTTGTTTGTGCGGCATAAACAGACAAACTTCTTTTCACTAGTTTTCTCATTTAAAGTCAACCAATTATCTTGTTTTCTTACTAAACGTGAATTTCCGAGACTCTCTTTCAGTTTGCATCCAATCGCCTTTGAAACGGGTAGTTGATAGGCAGACCTACCCTTTTTAATTTTGACTTGTAAATTACGGCGCGATGTAAAATATCGCTTCTAATGTTTACAGAAAACTATTTTTTACAGAAAACGCATATAAAGGCATTGTTTTTTAAACAAAAAAGTTGTCTTATTACTACTATCGCTCTTTCTTTGTATTTCTTTCCGACCACGTACGTACCGTTTGCGATCGTCGACTGATTTTCCGAGTGTCCCTCAGACGAAGGATGCACCGAAGGATGCACCGTGTTGTTGATTCCGATCACGTTGTATTCCTTCGGCACACTCGTCACGTTTTCATTGACCGCGATCTCCTTCGTAAGATCAATGAGCTTCCGCGTGTTCGTTTCGGTTAATCCTGTCGAATCAGCCGCAATTGTGGTTTCCCTGGATATTGCCTCGTCCGCTGTAATGGCGGTGTACTCTGTCGTTGATTTACTTGACTCAGTTGTAATAAACTGCGGTGTTACCGCACTATTTGCAACGCCACTGCTCGCAGATGTCACACGAATTTGATTTTCTTCGTTAATCCCTGATCTAGCGGAAACGCTTGTGCTGCTTTCAGGCTTTATCACATGCAAATCGTTTGAAATCGTATTATTGCTCTGCCGATCGTCATTTACGCTCGTTGTTAAATCGTTATCGTTAATATCAATGTCATGTACGTGTCCTTTCTGGTCTTCGTTTAAATCTGTATAATTGTCTGGTTTGAGGGTATTTCTATCTTTCAATGATTGATTCGTAGGAACTTCTGACGCGGTGTTTACAATCGAGGCCGTCTTCGAGTCTTTTTTCGCTCCTACTCGATTACCTTCCGCTTGCTTGGGATCGTCTTCGGCCACTTTATTTTTGTCATCTGGCAGGTTAAAAATATCGATGCCAGAATCGATCGAGCTATGACCTTCGTCAGGGTATTCTTCCGGTAAGTATTCTTGTTTCGCTAGTGACACAAAGTTGTCGCTTGTTTTGTCGGACAATTGCTGCAGCTGTTTGCAATGCAGACACTTCATAATATCGGGGAGATTCGACTTGAATTCCGTATTGACATCAACCTTTTTGTTGAAATCGCGTAGGTAGTTTTCCATCGTGTTCAACAGAAACTTGCAACGTTTCGCGCTCAAATTGCAATCTCTCTTCGTGCGGGATGTGTCTCGTTTGAAACGCATTCCGGCGTCCCTTTCATTTAACATAGAAAACGCATCGTTCTCCACGATTCCCGTTATCTGCTCCGTAAGATTCTGATCGTCGAGAGATGAGTCTCCATCACTCACTCGTGCTTCCGATAATGATCCTCGATCACTAAGTGGGTAGATCTGCCTATCCACGACCCGTTCCAAGCGTGATTCCGGCTGGATGCTAACTGAAAGAGTCATGGTGGAAGAGATGAGTCTTTGAGGACGTCAACGGAAAATCGTCCGATTGCGAGAGCCATCGAACGTGAATTTCTCTCAAGATTCTCTTTTGCGCACGTATCTACCCACCTGGATAATTAATGATGCTGTAGGTGACGAGCACGCTCCTCAGCAGAATATCGATCAGCAAAATGCTAACCACCACTGTCAAAAGAAGACACTTATAACGTCCAAAAATCGAACGACCACACTTGGTCGTTCTGCTTTTGTTGGATATTTTTTCTGAAAATTGTGCACGTAAAATATTATTATCTATTACATACAATCTCCTGAATATTATAGAGACATAACAAAATTGTGTAGTTTTTAATATTGCTATCGTTATTAAAACAATCGGACTTTGTTATAGATTTTGTTATTGTAAATGTGTGAGGCGCAAAAGTTACCTTCATTTCTCGAATTTGCCAATTCAACGCTACATAGCGAGTCGATATCGACTACTTGCGAGAATGCATTATCGTTGACATGCGATTTATTCGATTTGTCTGCGAGCCACACTAATAAAGAATACGATGAAAAGTTAATTGAAATGTGCGCGAATTATTCGAACTTGATATTCTAAATCTTAAAATGTAATATGTACTTACTTTTGAGTGCAAAGTATCTTGTCCCTAAGCGATCTTCACCGTAGATTACATCGGCGACAACTACCGTGGATCAATTCCAGTCGCTTTTTTGTAACAGCAATGCGTCAGCGTAAAAATGTCGATTAATCATTTTGACTCGTGTTACACGTGTGTCATTAAACTTTCTTTACACGCATTTTGATAAGTTTCGTTGTAGCGAAGATTGCGAAAAATGACGAACGGAATTTCAAATTTCTTCGACACATGTAACTTCCGCAAAATTTCGCATATACGTTGAAACTTATAAGCAAAACTTGATTAACCTCTTTTCGCACACAAACACGAGATTCCGAGATATTTTATTAGCATTTATCATTGCGATCTTTCGTACAAGAGAAACTTATAAATAATGGCCGCGAGTAATGGACCTCATTTCTAAACGGAATTTTTTTCTTACGACTTCAATGTGAAACTATCACTCTTCATTGTAGAAAGTTCTGCAGCTTGCAAAGTTTCAGTCTGCGTTATAAAAAAAAACTCAGAAAGATGAAAAGTCGGGTGATATTCATCTTCTATACAACAAAAAAAGAAAAAAAAAACAATTTTAATGAAACAAAAGTTCGCAAAAAAAAAACCTGATTTAAGAACTGCTGATGCATTTTTAATTTTCAGAAGGAAGATATCAAATCTCTCCAGTGGAATATTATTAATGTAAAAAGAGAACAAATTATTTTTTTAAGAAGAAGATGATTATATGACAATTATAATATAATTATTTACTTTCTAAAAAAATAATTATAATATAATTATAATTTTTTACGAAGAGTGCAACAAAAAAATATTATAGTTTTATTTTTTACATCCGTAAGGTTTTAATTTTAGATACAATGAAAGATATTTGATAAAAGTTTGCATAAAATACAGATTAGTCGTCTGAAATAAAATTACAAAACGGCGCAAATATCAATAATGTTGTAGCTACAACAAATAGTGTTGCTACGAGCCATTTAAACACACACACACACACACACATGCCCTGTATTAAAGTATTAATGGGATAAGTTTTAACCTCTTGGGGAGAAACGAGGCAAACCGTGCTTTTCCATATTGCCCTGCAAATTGATTGCGAATCGATCGTCGTTCGAACAGCACAGCTGACAATAGCTAACGTACGACACGTTGCTAGTTGATCTCATATTTTGCGATAGACTTTTCCTTCTTATTTAACAACTTTTATTTATGAAGAAATCGTTTAGTTATGCAACTTTTGTTGACGTTTAGTACCAAAAATTATATTTTACAACAATAGTAATCTATTTGGTAAAATTATGGAATGAAACTTTATATATTTAGTTTTTAAAGAAAATGAGCGAAACGATCTCTGAAAACCGAGATGACATGCGTAGCAACATCACTTATAACTCAAAAAACGGTTCATTCAGTAAAGAAATACGTTCTCAGTATAATGCGAGATTTTATATCGCGTTTTTTCTATCCTCATCCTACTTTATTGCAAACAGTTTATCTGCGCGCAATATGCAAAGCTGTCATATATTTGAAACTCCGGAAAGTTCGAGCGATGCGTTTCCACTGAACCGATGCGGTCTCGTGTAACAGAACACGATATTTTCTAAATTGCTTTACGTCATCTTTTTTCAATATATGTTTTATAATTACAGCTTTTTATTTTTATCGTCATATCTATCTCTATAATAATGTTTTTCTCCAAAAACCACTCTTAACAACTTTATATGGATAAGATCACATTTTGAAAATAAACTCTACTCTTAAAATATTTTTAGCTGTTGCAGATTATAATGTTTTATTATACTAGCACAACACAAGCGCGCGCTACGCGCACGCTATTATTATTTTCATTTTCATGTGTTGCATCAGTGAACACAATCTGTCACCGCGATGACAGCTAATATATATATCTTATAAACTATGTAATACACCTACGAGAGATGTCAAAAATAACGCATAAAAATCAAACTCAAAAAATAAAAGAAAGAGAGAAGAATGAAAAAACAACACGTGACTAAAGTCACGAGACAAAGAAAAGAGTAAAAAAGAAAATATTATACATATATTACAGATAATATTCTATATCTATATAATATACACATACATACATACAAACATATACACACATACACATATATATATATATATACCGTAATACGTGATCGAGGTCATTGACCCCGCCGCGGTCGCGCGTCCGAGGTCAATGGCCTCCCCCCACCAAAGCCGCGCGGCCGAGGTCAGTGACCTCCCCCCACCAAGGCCGCGCGGCCGAGGTCAGTGACCTCCCCCCACCAAGGCCGCGCGGCCGAGGTCAGTGCCCCGCCAAGGCCGCGCGGCCGAGGTCAGTGAC